GTTTATGAAAGTCTAAAGTGACTGATACAACCAAGAACATGTACATTTAATCTGAACCTAATTTAGCATTTCACAATGCTCAAAAGGTATCATAAAACAGTTGTTACATGAGTTTGTCTTGCCTGTACACAACTGACAGAGGCAAAATTTTAGATGGTTGATATGATCTACCTTTTATCCATTAATAACTTTTATTTTCCTCAGATGTAGTAATAGCACTGACTACTTTCCTGACAAAAAGAATCTCTGTAACAGAAGAGCAGAAGACATATACAATGGGTATTCTGAAAAGATCATTGAACTTGTTGTGGTTAAGATTTGGCATGCCTGAACTTAGCATCATAGAATCACAGAACAGTTAGGGCTGGAAAGGACCTTAAGATCATCTAGTTTCAACTCCCCTGCCACGGGCAGGGACACCTCCTACTAAGCCATGTCACGCAAGGCTCTGTCCAATCTGGCCTTGAACACTGCCAGGGATGGAGCATTCACAACTTCCCTGGGCAACATATTCCAGTGCCTCACCATCCTTACAGTAAAGAATTTCTTCCTTATATTCAATTTAAACTTCACCTATTTAAGTTTGAGCCCGTTACCCCTTGTGCTATCACTACAGTCCCTAACAATGAGTCCCTCCCCAGCATCCTTATAAAGTCCCCCTTCAGATACTGGAAGGCTGCTATGAGGTCTCCATGCAGCCTTCTCTTCTCCAGGCTATACAGCCACAACTTTCTCAGACTTATCTTCATACAGGAGGTGCTCCAGTCCCCTGATCATCCTTGTGGCCCTCCTCTGGAATTGTTCCAACAGATCCATGTCCTTTTTATGTTGAGGACACCAGAACTGCACACAGTACTCCAAGTGAGGTCTCACAAGAGCAGAGTAGATGGGCAGGATCACCTCTTTCGACCTGCTGGTCACGCTCCTCTTGATGCAGCCCAGGATACGGTTGGCTTTCTGGGCTGCGAGCACACACTGAAGCCGGCTCATGTTCAGTTTCTCATTGACCAACACCCCCAAGTCCTTCTCCGCAGGGCTGCTCTGAATCTCTTCTCTGCCCAACCTGTAGCTGTGCCTGGGATTGCTCTGACCCAGGTGTAGGACCTTGCACTTGACATGGTTAAACTTCATGAGGTTGGCATCAGCCCACCTCACAAGCATGTCAAGGTCCCTCTGGATGGCACTCCTTCCCTCCAGCGTACCAACCGAACCACACAGCTTGGTGTCATCGGCAAACTTGCTGAGGGCGCACTCAATCCCACTGCCCATGTCGCTGACAAAGATGGTGAACAAGACCAGTCCCAACACCGATTCGTGAGGGCCACCTCTCATTACTGGCCTCCAGCTGGACATGGAGCCATTGACCACAACTATCGGCATGCACCCATGAGACAGTTCTTCAAGAATCATACATCAATCTCTGACATGACCAAAATTTCCTCAGTAAAAACAACCCGTCTTCTTTTTATAATTCCTAGATACCATATGATGCAAAAGCAAAGATGTGCTATATATGTGATAACGTAGCAGAACACTATGAAATTATATTTTAAGGTTACTACTGCTTCATATGTTTTAAGCAAAGATCATATATAAGGGGAGGTCAGAGTATTAAAGTGAATTGCTTTCTGTCCTCTAGAAGGTTAAAGTTATATTGTGGCATAGTCCCCTATTTGGAAAAAAAAAACCACCAAACCCCCCAAAAACCCACCCCCCTTCACTCCAACCCCCCCCATAACCCTCCAAAAATCAACCAACAAATCACAAAAGCCAACCAACCAAAAAAATAAAAAACCAGCAAAAAACCCCAACCCCCAAAAAACCCAAACCCCAAAACCAAACCCTAATATTTTAATAACCAGTGCCATATGGGATACCATACCTACAAAGTAGTGTGCCAATGGATCACATATGCGTATTTCTCAAAGCTTAACTGGTGAGCACATCAACCTGAAATCTCATTCAAGAGAGTATAATAAAAGGCGGTCTATAACAAAGTATGGGCAAACTAGGTATGGTTTTACTTCCCTAGGTAAGCTTTAGTCTTTCTTTGAATTTCTTGAGATAAGAATACGTATGAGTGACATGAAAGGGGGAATCATTGAGAAGACTGAGTAAGGTGAGGGACGAATCAACCAGGCATCCTTGAGTAACAGCAAAACCCCCACACTGGTTCTGAATAGGTAAGGAAATAAAAAAGATGTGAGAGAGCAGCTCTTGACCACTTTAAAATTTCAATGCTTTGTTAAGCAAAGTTCTTACTATTTTTTCCTATTCCATTAGAATTGACAATAGTACTCATACAAGTCAAAAGAAAACTGCAATAATAATTCATTGTCAACTTCAGTGATTGCTCATGAAGCATGCTAACTCACAAGAACACATCTAAGAAGGCTGAAGCATGCCCTTTTCCACCATGGTACTGTTTAGGAGGAAAAAGTGCATATCTGCTGAATTATTCTGAATAAAACCATTTTTTTTACCAGCAGAATGAAATTAAATTTTTCTGAAAATAACCAAACGGGAAAAAATGTATTACCGTATATATAATTTGATTTATTTTTCTCACAATACAGACGTCTGCATGAACTGACATCAGCTTGCATATGCAAAAGCAAAACACTTCAACTGGTTTTAAATCTTGGAAAGTGCCTGACGTTTCTGCTGATTTCCTGCTGAATAGTAGCTCAAAATAGCTGCCAACTGCAAATTGCTTGAGCTCAAATTGCTTGAACAAGTCTGAAAATAACACGCAGAATAAAATCTCCAATGTGAAAGCAAAATGTCTGGTTGCAAATGGAAAAAGAACCATGGGAATAAGCCTGATAAGCTGACACATCTGTATAAATCATATATGCCTAAATCCCCACGTATTATCAAAGAATAACTAGAACACTTTCAGATGAATTTAATTCAGCCAAAACATTTCAATTCACATACAGAGTCTCTTCTGAACAGACAAACACCCCCTAAGTATTACTTCTATATAAAATTAATTCTGTGCTCATCTTAAACTGGCCTCAGGAAGAGGCGAAAGAATTTTAATTAAAACAAATTCTTTCAACTTACTGGATTTTATTCCTACATAACAGAAAAGCACAAAAACCCCAAAACCCTAGAAATTCTAAAATGGGAAAATGCTAAAATTAGAAGAAACCATCCATAATAGTTTGGTTTGTTTTTCTGTTGTTTTTCTGAAGATAATAAAAAACATATCTGACCCACATACATCAACCCCACAGACAGAAAAAGAACAAAATGACAGATTTTAAATGTATTCAGAAAACTGGTGGGTTTTTTGGGTTTTGGCAAGAAGTCAGTTTTCCCATATAGTAAAACACTTTTTCCCCAAAGAAACGATTCACACTGCCTAAAAAAAAATTTTGAGGAATTAGTACTCATTCCTGGTGTGATTTAACACAAAATGATTCACACTGTGTGTGATAAAATGCAACCTGTATAAAAGTACAGAATGAAATCATCTAGGTAAAGACTCACAAATTGGAATTCCAAAGCTTTTTATATTATTAATGAAGATTAACTCATTTCTATCATCACACTACATTCACACAATTCCTACCTCAGACCTAAAGTACCAGACTGAATCCATGTGCTCTTTCCAAGCTGTTAGGAAAAGGAATGGAAACTGGGGCTTTCAAATGAGGCAAAAGAAACAAAACAAAGTAATCAGCAAACCTGCTGAGGGTGCACTCAATCCCACTGTTTATGTCACTGACAAAGATGTTGAAAAGGATCAGTCCCAACACTGACCATGCCCATGGCAGGGAGGCTGGAACTAGATGAACTTAAGGTCCTTTCCAACCTGAACCATTCTATGATAAACAAGAAGCCACTCCCACCCCCCCTTCACCCAATCTTACTGATTTTCTTATGCTATGATACCAGCATTAGAATAATCTACCTCCTCACATGATCATTAAAAAAATCCAACCAGCAAACAAAAAATAAACCAAACAAAAAAAGCCTAAACCAACTACCCCACCACCTTCTCACTCAAATCACAAAAACCAGCACAAACAGCTTTTGGAGCACATCTTCACAAGTTAAATTTCTTTATCTTTCATTCATAGACACAAAACCCCACACACTCTTTTAACACCTGCAGATGGGTTATCAACACAAAAGTAAAACAGAGTATTTATTTCAAAGATAAAAGTCATAGCAATGGCCATGGATAACGTTAAGGAAATATATTTAAGTAATTTCCTTATGCTGGTGTTTTTCCTCAAAGAGGATTTTATTCAAACTTCTCCAACAAACAGAACTACGGTTCACTAATAAAAGGTATAATTAATGTCTTCAGCTGTACTACAGCAATGTACCAAGATAACTTTTTTGTATTTTTAGAGAAGTCTCATTAAGTGCATAATCTCACACTTATGTAAGTCAACTTTATTTAAAATGCACAGACTAAAAAACAAAAGAAATCCAGGAAATGTCATTATACTCTTGGAATTTAACACTTCCATAAAATACATGGGTATACAAAGCACCTTGTACACAGTCATCAATTTCGTAACAAGAAAATATGCTTGGAGTAACACTACAGCAAAATGAAGTCAGGCACGGAACAAGTTGTTTTCCATGTTCCGCCTTACAAGAGTTCTAGTTTTGGCAATATATATGAAGTTTCCATGTAACTTCACAGGGCATTCCCAACAAGCAGCTGATTCACCTTTCCTACTGGTTTCAACAAAAGGCAATAGAAAGCAGTTTAAGAAAAAAATGACCTACCCATACATATAAATGGAAGATTTCATAGTTTAAGTGTAAACTATGAAAAAGCACAACTTAGTTCACTAGATCTAACTGTATAGGGCCAACAAAAATGAAACAGTTATTTTCTGAACTGTAACTCCTCAACTATGAGGAAAAGCTATTCAGGTACTAGAATCTGAAGATTTACAATGATGTCAAAATATTAACAGGTATGTTAAATTTTGAGAGGCATCCATTCAAGTAAGTTTTGTAACATTTACCTGTATCCAAGCGCTTTACAGGGGACTCATCATCAACCTCAGAATCTCCACATGCACTCCTTGATCTTTTCCTTGGGTGCAGAAGTGTCTCCAACCTTGGAAGGACTACAGACAAAAAGGTTTTGGTCCCTAGCTGTGGAGAAGTTGGCTGGGTTTCAGTGTTCTTTGCAGACTTTTGGGGGCTTATACTTTTCGATTTGCAGAAGAGAATGGATGTACGTCTGTTTACATCAGTTGATGACTCAGCTACAGCAGAAACAGTCGACTCATTGAGATTACTGTCAAGTAAGTGTTCTGGAGTGTGTCCATTTATTTCTTTCTGAATGGAAGTGCTATATAATTCATTATCAAATTTTACTCTTTTGTAAAGCTTACTCTGCTCTGGATTGAGTTCTACTGGTTTGAGGGTTGGTGGTTCTGAATTAGTCTCCAAGTTTGAAGGAAGAGGTAATGCATCTGATGGTTCAAGTTTAGGGGGAGATTTATCTCCTGAAAAAATTATAAATAGAGTGTGATTTTTGAAAACCTGTAGTTATAAAGTCTATTATAAAACTCACTACAAATGTGCAGCCCACCAAATAAATTGTTGTTTGGAAACAAAGCATAACATTTTAAAAACAAACCTTGTCTAGCAACAATCTGTCCTAGTTAGTAGTTTCTACTTTTATACTGGGAATGTAACAGGGATAGAAAAGTAGGTGTTTATAGTTGGTGTTAAAGAGTTTACACCTAGATAAATACTTTTTTACTTCTCATGCAGTTGTGTTAGTTTCATTAATTAAAAACTAAGAAATCTCTTTTTTTCACTAGAAAGCTGGGGTTGTGGATTGTTATTTCTTAAATGCAATTATACTGCCATTCAAGTACATTTTAATACACATCTTTATCTATTTCACCTTATCAATATTCACTTTACCTGCCTAACACACATTTTTATCAGATAAGCATAAACTATGCACCATATCTGCAACCTGATCTACGAGAATGAGCTAAAATGCATCATAAAATCTCCAGAAAGTCAAGACTTGAAAAGCTTTTCTACAGTTGTGGATAGACAATTTTATCTATCAAAAAGAGGGGAAAAAAAGGGGAGGAAAAACCCCGCCACCTCCAAACTCTTGCAGCTTGACTAGCCACTAGTTGGCAACTTGACAATGCAGACTTGATAGAAGAAGTCAGAAAAACCACCCTCTACCATTACTTCTTCTTCCCTTTCCCCCTCTTTTTTTTTTTTTTTTAACATGATCATTGCTCAGTCAATTCCAGGATTTCTATGCTGAGAAAAGACAATGGAGATATAACTGAGTGTATAAAACTTGTTTCAGTTTTCCATCACAAGTGATGGGAGGGCAAATAAACATTCTACTGTTGTAGCAGTCCCAAATACAAGTTAAAGGGCTTCCTAACCCATAATTACCAAATTAAATCAAAAAGATGTTACAGCTTTCTTACTAACTTCCAAAAAAACCTTCTAAAATATAACTTAAGAAAGAAGATGCTTATTCTAAAGTAACTTTATGAGACCAATGTAATATTTATACCATCACATAAAATTTTAAAATTTAGCTATTTTTTTCTATGCCACATGAAAAAAAAAGGTGTAAAAACCCCAAGGGCTTAAGCCCTGTATCTGTAGTGGATTAAATATCTCTGTATTGCTTTGGGTCTGGCTCAGCAATGCTTACTTGAAATCAGTGACTAAGTGCAGAAAAGTCTCTGCCCCACTGCTTAAGGTCTAATCAAACAAGAGCATAGTTCCTATTAAAAAGAATATTGTTAAAATGAAGTATGAACCATGCTCACATCTTCTGAAGGAACGTTAAGTATTAGAATTGGTAAATAATATTTCAGGAAGGCATTCAGAATGAAATTTACAGTCAGATAAACAAATCTAAATATCACAAATTAAAAAAGTATGTAGTTTAGAATGTCCCAGGTGACTCTTTGCTGTGAACAAATTCTAATTTTCTTAAATTTATTTAGGAAATAGTCACAAAAATATTTAGGTTTTCAAGCACTAATTTGAGATTAAACCCTAAATTTCATAGAATCATAGAATAGTTAGGGTTGGAAAGGACCTTAAGATCACCTAGTTCCAACCCCCCTGCCATGGGCAGGGACACGTCACACTAAACCGTCTCACCCAAGGCTTCATCCAACCATTCACGGGGTTATTTTGGTACCAAATTTTTCACAGAATCACAACTGAAAACATAATCCCTAGAGGAAAATCCACGGCTCTTCTAAAGTCAGCTCCTGTAGAGATCTTGGGCACAAAATCTACTTGTTTCCTCATCTTTCTTTTTGGCTGTTTTCTTTACTCGTTTAAGTACCTTCCACTTTCCAATCAGGATGTGAATTAATGACTGTTACTCTTCACTAGATCAGAACTGTAACAGCAATGCCAATCAACTCTGGATCATGCTCTTCTGTTTTAAAAAAGCATACTGTGAATATAAGAAAACAGCTACTGCCCACTTTTGGACTGTATCTTGCACAACAGCTGCAGTGAAAGGCTGTGTCACAGAAAAGCTAGAAGTAAAAACTTCAGTTATTTGCCTGAAACTACATTCCTAAAGAACTATATTCAGTAGCATCATCACTTGAAGATTAAAAATAAAATAAAAATTTAAAAAATCATTAGATGTTTTAAGAATACTTAACAGTCTCAAGAACAAGTTAAGTGTGTTGATTCACATACACTTTTTCTACTGTTGTCATTCAAATCTCAAGCAACTTACATGTTTGAAAAGCATTCTCTTAGTCGCACTAAGAATTAAAATCCAAGTTGCTGTTTGAATGGCAGTTAAGGACAGTCATTTTATTGATTTGGCCTTTCAGAAATTTTGGGAACATCAAGCTGTACCAGACACAGACTGTTTTATTTATTACCATGCTTTCATTTTCCCTTGAGCTCTTTCCTCCTCCCATTCAAAGCACTTGAAATTCAATGCAAAATGAAACATATCTCTAACTCTCCTAAAGAAAAATCAGTTAGCTTTTTAGAGGTGAGCTGATCATGCAACAAACTCAAAAGAACTTTTTTTTTTTTGAGACTAGATTTTCTTGGCAACGTTTAAAAATTAGCAATAAAGATCTCTGATTTAAAACCTAAAAATACAAATATAATATTCAACTGAACTAAAAAGTTAGGCCTTTCTAGTATACTGCTCTCATTGAAATAAATGGGAATTAGCCAAGAGTAGGTGTAGCTTCGAGACCAATATTTTAAGGAGGAAGAAAAGCATAAGGGGAAGGACTGGTTAGATATGGCTGACTTGGTTCTACAACAGTAAGTCTGTTAAGTCCTAACAATAGATAGATTAAAAAAAAACCAAAAAAAACAAAACAACAAAAAACACCCTCACAAAAAAAAAAAAACACAAACCCAAACCAAACAAACTAAATTAACAACCCAAACCTACCCTCCACTGTCCCTAAAGTATGAAGCAGAGAGTAAAAACAGCTACAAAAGACAGCACAATGGTCAGAGTTTTCAGCATCAGTGACCTAGGCTCACATGATCTCCAACACGTATTTTGTTATTTAAGTGGATTTCTTAAAGTACAAAAATACATTCTCCACTTGGGCATTTCCAATTTCTTCTTGTATGAGATTGTCTGTACTTTCGTTTCTTAACACCTAGATTTTTAAAAAGCCTTGCTACTTTGAAATATAATGTAGGGAGATTTTGATAAAAAAAATATCATTCTCATACTCTTCAAACATTTGTTGCGATTCAGTGGCTATCTGTCCATTGAAAAATTAAATATATTAATTTACTACACTTTAACAAACACTATTAAAGCACCTGACTGAAGAAGTTCAGAACAGTACTAGTTTAAACATGGTTTAAATTCTTACCTTCCTCTTCTCCATCTTGTTCTAATGCTGCACTTTCTTCTTCAAAACTTCCAATACCTGATTCTATTTGAGGAACTTGGTTGTGTTGCTGGCTAAGTTTGTTGCGAATAATGCTGATTTCTTTCTTTAACAGCTTTGCTCTTTTGCTCCTCGAGCCACTGGATTTCATTGCACAGGTCAGATCAAGTTTTTCTAGCAACTCTCTCAGCTGTTCTTCCAAGGACATATGCACTCTGTTTGCCGGATTCAGTAACCTATCCACTAAAGTGAAAATACATATGATTGAAAATATGTTAGTGTTTTCCAGAATGTTTCCCAGAACAGTAATACTAAAAGGAGGAAAAAATAAAATTCACTTGCCAGAACTAAAAACATCATAAAAAGCTACTTAGATTACCATCTTAGTAGCTTCACCATCACCAATGATGTTGAAATGAATTCCTACTACATTAATTACTATTCTTCTTGATCAGCATTTTGCTCAAGAAAGCTAAATAGCAGAGCAAAGAATTAAAAGGTCAGAAGGAAGACATAATTAATCCTTCCCACCCTAACAGATCATTTTCTTACTGTCAAAGAGAAGGGCAAGATTATGGTCATAAAAGAAACATGTTAATTATTCTCCTTTATTGCCAAAACCACAGAAAACTAATGTGTATGTCAAAAGCAGCTATTTTAATTCCTAGTATTACAAGCACATTTGATTTTTTAATTCAGTAGTTTATTTAAGAATGTGTTTAAGTATGTGTGTGTACTGGTAGTTGTTTTTCATGACTTACAAGCACATACAACCATGTGAAAGAAAGCACTCTATTTAAAAACCTTTTTCATGTATCTTGTTAAATTAGCCTCTCACATTATCAAAATCAGAAACTGGACAATGCTTTTTAATAACAGATCTAGTAGAATAGGAACACTTGTATCTTTCAGGACATTTCTTAACTGGGGGGGAAGGGAGAAATCTACTCAGCAAACCCAACAGTAACAATCTTAAATCATCTGTATGGAATATACACACTGTGTAATGGAAAATGCAACTTTTAAAGATAATCCAAAAACATCTTACCATCTTCCCAAGAGAAAGGCTGGGGTGACTCAAGTTTAGGCCGTTCAGGTAAGTGCATTCCAGTTTCATGATTATAACCAATTCCTTCAGCATCTCGCCTAGCTTGCCTGAGAACTACACCTCCTTGATCTCGTAACCGCACTGCCGCTCTATAAAATATTGTATCTTTTGCATTGTATTTCATACAGTTATCTATGATAAGATTGAAGTCTTCTTCAAACTCACTGAGGTTTTTATAGCCTTGAGCCTCTAACCGTTTTCGCATGGTAGAGAAATCCATAGGATGTTTAATATGATCCAAATAGTCTGGAACCTTTAAATAAACATTTAAAACACAAATGGGTAAAATTATCTTACTACAGACAAAATAACATTAACTATGAAATGATCCACATTTTTAAACATATTCTGTAACACCTCTAATAATGAGCTTTGAAGCGTAGCTTATAAATGCACATCTTGATACTGCAAACATTCACACAGCAGCAAAAGTTTACATATTACAAGATTCTGCATCTTAGGTAACAAGTTAGAGCTCTATTAACAGGTGCTGTATCTACATGTTTTTGTAATTCTATGGTTGTGTGTATACTATGCATGTATTTATGCATATACACATTTATAAATGCATGCATACACATAATATACAGCTGTATGTAGCATATGCACACATACATATATACACAAAATAAAGACATGTATACATGTCTACATGTTATTTATGCACACATATAGAAGTATTGTATATGTACGTATACACACACCTACATTCTATCTAGTTTCCCAGTGAACAGAATTTCACCTGAAAATAAGAATGCAGTACCTACATTTCTATTCCGAGTTTGCTTTATCAAATAACCTTAACACAAAAGATCAATATGAACCATGTTATTCCATACACCTATGTCCGAGAAATTATTTTGGTATATGAGCATAAATACGACTTCCTGCTACATAAGTCTAAGTCATAATGCAAATTAATCAGAATAGAGATTAAAAGGTGTCCTGGGTTCAGCTTGTTTTTCTCATTCCTAGTAGCTGGTTCAGCGCTGTGTTTTCAGCTTTAGTCTGAAAATGACACTGATCTAACACACTGATATTTTCAGTTGTTGCTAAGTAATGTTTACTCTGATCGAGGACTTTTTAGTCTCATGCTCTGCCAATAAGAAAAGGGCACAAGAAGCCAGGAGGAGGCAGACAGGACACCTGACCCAAACTAGCCAAAGGGGTACGCCATACAAAAGCACGTCATGCCATAAACTGGGGGAGTTATCTGAAAGGCCCAGATTGCTGCTCGAGTCAGGCTGGGTATCGGCCAGTGGGTGGTGAGCAACTGTATTGTGCATCACTTGCGTTTATTGTTTTCATTTCCTTTTCCCCTTTTAGTTTTATATTCTCTCCCCTTGTTATTTCCCTACCATTGTTATTGGTGGTAGCAGTAGTGATTTGTGTTATACCTTAGTTACTGGACTGTTCTTATCTCAACCCATGGGATTTACATTCTTCTGATTCTCCTCCCCATCCCTAAGGGGAAGCAGGAGGAAGATGAAGGAGAGAAGTGAGTGAGCAGCTGTGTGGTTCTGAGTCACCAGCTGGGCTTAAACTACAAAACGCAATGCTGCTTCCACCTCTGCGTTTCTTGTATTTAAGTGCCAGCAAGTCCTACATAAACACAAGGAAATACAGCTTAAACCATACCTCCTTAAGGTTCACTGGCTGAGCAAATATCCGAGCAGAATCCTTTTCCTGCAGCTGATCCAGAACTGATCGCAAAAGTACAGTAAATGGAGTAAGCTGAAGTTCCATAGCAACCTGCTCAATCTTGACCTACAGAAGTAGTAATCATCCAATTAAGCATTATTCCTTAAGATAGCATTTTAAAGTTTGCTTCAGATATGAAACACCATGAATATATTTAACTAAATGAGTTCAATGCTACTTTTATTATCAGTTCGCATTTGTCTGACACATATTTTCAGCTAATGACTTTGTAGGAAAAAAAAATATTCTCATCCCTTCATTGCAGACTCAACTTCAGCTTCTCAGAACTGAAATTTGTATTTTACCTATAAATCTATTTTTTCCCATTTTTAACTGTATTTCTTTTGTTTGAAAAGATGTTACACAGTAACAGCTTCCTATTTTGTCAACAATGCCAAGAATAACAATTGTAATACAGCTGTAGTAACAAGAATTTAAAGGTAACATGTTTAAAATTAAATTTCAGTTGCAGTGCCATGTTCAAAATGTAAAAAGAGAATTTGATGAACATCTGTAAGTTACACCAGACCAAAACAAAGAGCAATTTCAAAGATGACGTGCTATATAAATTCCAAGAAAATAATTTAGAAAAACAGAATCAACATCTTCAAGTACTTGCTCATCCTTCAGAACATTTGTTATTTTTCACAATATTACAACTCCTCTCCAGTTTTATTTTCAGCCCATTTAAAGAGTTATCAACATTGAAACAGTTTTGTTATAGCAAAAGTAAACTCTTAATGACACATTAACAGTGTGAGTACACATATAATAGAAATGTAAACAAAGTATACACATACAAACACATGCATAAAATACATGTTTATAAATAACAACACATAATACATATGTATTGCAAGTGATATGTGAATGTTTAAGAATGATGCACAGAATTCCAGAAAGCATTACAGACTACATTACAAAGAATGACAAACTACATTATCTTGCAATGAACGTCTGCAGCTTGCAAACAGTAAAAATTGAATGGTGTTTTTATAAGGACAATTAAAGACTTATAAGTGCAAACACCTTGATTTCACAGTTTTCATATAAAATACTATCTTTTCTGCACCACCACTTCCTCAAGTCTCTTCTCCCACCAATGTTAACTCAAGAATGTTGCAGGACATAGATGCAGGTTTAGGGACTGGTTTTTTTTTCCCATTGTTTTAGTGACAGAAGAATAAAAGTGCTACTCAGTACAGGCACATGTATTACGAAAACACGAAGAGATGAAATTTTCTACAATTCTTCAGAAACCAATCATATGTGCAAGTCTAACAGAATGGCCTGTTAAACAATCTCTACACAAATGCACACAGCACAGGCAACAAGCAGAAGAAGCTGGATGCCACTGTGATGCTAGAAAGCTATGACCTAGTTGCTACTGAAAAATGCTGGGATGAATCCCATAGCTGGAGTGTGACTACCAATGGCTATAGGCTGTTCACAAGGGGCTGTTGCATAGTGATGGGGTCAGCAAGGCAAGGGTCGAATAATAAGAAGGGATTCTACAGATCTGTCAATCAGGAAGTCAAAGAAATCATACCCCTCCCCTCCTCCTCCCCCCTCAGAATGCGACTGGCAAACTGGTAACAAAAGATGAAGAGAAGGCTGAGGTAAATAAACCAACAACTTTTTTGCCTCAGTCTTCACAGGCGCTCTCTCTTCCCACACCTCTCAAGCAGATGGACCTCGAGGAAAGGACTGGGAAAGCGAAGTCCCTCCCACTGTAAGACATCAGGTTCATGACCATCTGAGGAACCTGAATATATATAAGTCTATAGGAGTTGATGAGATGCATCTGAGAGTCCTGAGGGAATTGGCTGATGTGGTTGCCAAGGCACCCTAAGATATCTGATAGTCATGGTAGTCAGGTGCAGTCCTCAGAACCCATTTTTTAAAAGGGTAGAAAGGAGGACCCTGGGAACTACCAACCTGTCAGCCTCTCTTCTGTACCTGGGCAAAAATAGGAACAGATACTGTAGAAGCCATATTAAGGCCCTGCAGAGGAGGACTTGGGGGAACTGGTGGATGAAAAACTGGACATAGGCTGGCAGTGTGTGCCCATTCCTGAAAGGCCAACTATAGACTTGGCTGCTTTCAAAGAAGCATGACCAGCAGGTCGAGCAAGGTGATTCTGCCCCTCTACTCTGCTCTCATGAGACCCAACTTGAAGTACTGTGTACAGTTCTAGGGCCTCCAACACAGAAAAGACATGGACCTGTTGGAGAGGGTCCAGAGGAGGACCAGAAAAATGATCAGAGGGCTGGAACACCTCTCCTACAAAGAAAACTAGGGTCGCTCAGGCTGGAAAAGAGAAGGCTTCAGGGATACCTTATCGCAGCTTTCAATACTTAATGGGGGTTTATTAAAAAATATGGGGACAAAGTTTTTAGTACAGCCTCTCGTAACAGGACAAAAGATAATGGTTGTAAACTAAACCAGGGTGGGTTTACACTACATGTAAGTATGTAATATTTTAAAGTGATGGTGGTGAAACACTGGAGCAGGTTGCCCAGAGAAATGACAGATGCCACATCCGTGGAAACATTCAAGGTCAGGCTGGACAGAACTCTGAACAACATGATCTAGTTGAAGATGTCCTCGTTGACTGCAGGGGCATTGGACCAGGAAGGTCCCTTCCAAACCAAACCATTCTGTGATTCTATGATTATTTTATGTATCTTAAACAGGTTGCATGAGTGTGCGCATGCGCTTTTCTTGATCCTATGTGAGGATCAGAAGACAAACACTGCAATCTTTCTATTGCAAAAACTGCGTATGAGAATACTTAAAACCATCTTCAGAAAAGTTTCACCAAATTAAAAATTCCCTTTACCTGTTCTCTTTTTAATTTTTCACGCTTACGTATAAGTTCAATCAACAAACGTGCTCTTTCAAGATCATGGCGCAGCCTTTGCCAGTACTTCAATTTTTCTTTTAAGGCTTGCATTTCTTCATCATCTTCTCTCTAAGAAAAGAATCAAAATATTTTCATGACATAAGGAACACTAACCTGGTTTTATAAGCTATGCTTTATGTAATTACAGAATGTATTTCCAGGAAAAGAGAAACTACTGTCTAATAGCTATGGTACTTGATCATAAGCTTCATACTGCAACAAAAGAAAACCTGTGATCAGGATATCTTCTAGAGTTTCTCAGCCATCTAGCTGAAAACAAAGCCTATAAAAACCAGGAAGCAATCCTATGGTAAAGGCTATTTACATCAGAAAAAACAATACAGCAAATAGCAACGCAGCAATATAACAAGCTGCAAAATAAGATTCAGTATTTTTACATTAAAATCCAAACCACATGAAGATCATCAGCCTCTTCAGCAACTCAAGCCTGTTAGAAACAAATTCTTGTGCTCAACACAGTCCACCTCCCCGGCACCCAGAATTAGGGCAACTTAGAACAAAATCACTACAACTTCTGAGGACAGGAAATAAAAAGCTGTTTATAGTAACTTTATATGGTACAGCAAATGGGCAATGCAGTAAACACAACCTTTCAGTGAACTGATGAAACAATTCACATATTTTTAAGGAAGATGTAGTCTTTGAATACTTGCAATGTTTAGTTTGATTTGTACATAAACAGAGCCTTTCTTTTTTTTAATATTCTTCGTAAGGAAATGTATATTGGAATACTACCTATCCTATTCAAACAGTATTGGTAATTCAGCAGAAACAAGGCCATAACAAAGTAGAAGTCCTCATATTAGTACCAAGTACACGAAAGAAACATCTGTTCTGGAAAATAAGTACATTTAAAATTAATATTTTATAAAAGAATCTCAGAAAGAGATCTAAAAATTTGTATGCTTGCCTGTAACTAGCATAATGCAATATCCACTTGATAAGTAATCGCCAGGTATTTTTTAAAATTAAAGCAAACAAAAGATTCTCTAAGTTATAAGAAATAGAAGAATAAAGATGTCTGAGCAGATGAACAAAACCCAGCATTACAAATTGTTACGCTCGAAGGAGAAACCTCCTTAACAGAAGGATAATTTAGAAATATTATAGGCACTTTAAAGGAAGCTTGTGCAATTTTTCAGACGTAAGTTTCCCAAAAATAGAATCGCAAAAAGTGGCAGTTAAAAAAAGAACACTGAATAGCTTTGTAAGCGCTATGATTATATGATCTGCATCATATTTTACTGCTTTATACACTTTGTAAAATAAAGGCAAGTTATCTGTGCAACCTGTAAGTTAGTTTTACTCAAGTCTCTGTCTTTAGTGAAGCTGAAAATCCTTAACTATCAACTATCTCTGTATTACAATACAGCAACCTGGAAACAGCAGTTTGTTCCTCTTTAAAAAAAAGTTTGAAAAATTGCAGCTAGAAAATTCTAGTTCCCTTTCCTAATGGCAATTACGACTGACAGTTATAGTTTCTCTTAAGGAGTTATGTTTTGACTTAGACACACAATTTAACTCCTGATGGTCAGAAGAGTTCAAAGTAAATTCTGACAGAAAAAATAATACCCATATTTTCAATTCCTTAACATTCTCAGACTGACTGAATTAGAAAGCCTACAGTACCACTAATTGCTGTTCTCCTGCATCCCTTCAGTTCTGAGTACAAGTCCCATGTGTGGAAAAGCAACCTAACTGTTAACTGACATTGCTATACAATTTTTCCACAGCTTTATTGTTTTTCAGGACCAGAATTAAGTTGTGGTTATTGCTAAAAGTGGAATACTTGCCCTTTGCTTGCAGCCAGTCAGAGTCCACTCCTTTGCCCTATGTAATTGCACAGTTCATGAAACTTGGGAATTGACCCTGCTCAAACCTAAGTCAACAAAACCATGCTAGTTTTAGGGTGCCTCAGGAAACTTAAATAAGGAAAAAAAAAAAAAGAAAAGTTACTTTGTTACAGCAAGCCTTGGGGTAGTTCACTTGAGACTTCAGGATTTGACTAAATTTGAAGGTATAATTGTCTTGAAAAAAAAAATGAAAAGAAAAAAAAATCATTCCTTCATTTGAACCAGTTGTTTAACCAATTTCATTCCATAAAATAGGCAGGCAGGTGCCAATCTGCACATGTGACTACTAAGAGCACCTTCCTTGCTTCCTTTTTGTGTGCACGTATACTCCAGTCTTAAATGTCATTCCATCTTGGAGGTTAATACTAAGCCTCCAATTTTCTGACACTTCTATGCAAATTGGTGTTGGCAGACACAGTTACAATTGCTGAGATAAACCCTCTTCACCCTAACCTATTTATTATATACAGTTTAGTTAGATTAAAAGATCCAAGCAAGCTGAAGAGAGCATGATGAACTGGTTTCCAATATCTAACTAGTAAAAACTTGGATAAAAATAGTTCCTTTTAAAATTTTTAGTTTTCATAAGCTTTTTGGCAAGGAAAGTTTCTATAACTTTCCTGCTAAAGAGTTCTTCCAAACCTTTTTATAACAAAGCCAGGAAGTTTCTTCTGGCAGACAACACAAAAAAATTTAGAAAGAAACTTTGTGGTATTTTCTGATGGACTCAGCTCTTTCTGAACACCAAGTATTACCAAAGAAAAAAAGCTAAAACTGACGCATTTATTAATACTGAGGGAAGAAGAAACTACTTCTGTATCCACACACAGAACATGGATCAACTGAGAACCAGTCTTCAGCTCCAGCTCCCCCCATGAGTATGCTACCAGCCTCTGCCTACTAGTAGGAATACTGCCAGTGCTCCCACAGATCACCCCTTCCCCCTAGATGCGAGTACTTAGGGCCAGCCTCACTCCCTACATGGACTGTAATTGATATAAGCCAAACAAAAATATAATTGGAAATTCTATTTCCAATAGTGATGAAATTGGATCTTGATCAGTACAATTAGTTTTATGAAGACCCTCTGCTGGCACCTCTATGCCAATCAGTCAAAACCATCTAGTGGCTGCAACTTGTGTTCCTATTGAACATGACCTTAGTCACCAGCACCTTCGACTTTGTTTCTCTCACAGAAGTTTATTATATACTATAGTAACAGCAGCTTTAAAATCAATCTCACTACAGCAGCACCAAGCTACTGTACTTAGATTGCATGCCTTACTTTTAGTCAACCATTCTTTAATTACAGAAGGGGGATATAAATTTATTAGCATATTTCCAATAGCCTTCCTGAATTTCTAGGTGGAGAGAGAAGTGACAGTATAAACCATTCTTTCAGATGGTTCCTTTTTCCTGCAGATGGTGTGGAAGCATATAAGCCAAGATCATCTTGCCTGGTTTAGAGCTTTTAGTTGATAAAACATCGCCTCTAAAAGCATATCACAACTAAGATCTGAAAGACATTCATTAGGAAGCAACCATGAATTATGAACCCTTCTTCCCCTGCCAAATTTGTTCTAGTAAACGATATTTAGAGAGGGATCAAACCAACCTCCACTAGGCACCCTGAAACCATTTTCAGGGTTTTGGTTCCTCATAGTAATATTTCTTTTCAGTTTAAATTAAAAAAAAAAATAAAAATTAAATAAATAGAAATCTTCCCTGAATCTGTATTAAATCAGTGTTTATGTTCCCCTGACTGACTGAAAACCTATTCTTCATGTTTCTTGATGTTTTAACCTCTCACATAAAATGAGGTCAACAGAATTTTCCAGATAGACTGAAATAAATTACCATCTATATTTCAAAAACTGTGACACATTCTCAAAACAGCCATGGCACCGCTGTTTATTAAGGGCTTCATTCTGGTTTGGTTTATACTTGGAATAATGAAGATGACTAATGCATCAAATGCTTTACAGTTATGACTACTTTAATAGGCATTCCAACAGCTTATTGAAGATGGTATGGGCAATGTCATACAATCCCCTACCATGTCACAGGATACTCACTACTCACTGAAAAGCACTACCATCTACATATTTTTTCATCAATAGAATCATTTACTACTCAGCTCTGCTTGAAGATTGCTTTTTCTTCACGAAAGACAAAGTTAATGTAAGTTTTTACAAATAAAGTTTCAGAACTACCTGCATTTTTAATAAACCAGTATAAATAGTTTCCAATTAGTTTAGAAAATATTTTCTAAGGAATAGTTCGTAGCTCTGAAACGAAACAGTGTTTGTACAGGAGTGCAAAAAAAGCAAACATATTCTAAACAGCTCCTAACCCTTATTATAGAATCACAGAATCATAATCCAACTTCAGTAATAATCTTTTATTTTGGTAGCTAGTTTAAATATTTAGAAACGTCACAGTCTCATTAAGCCATCTCAATAGGAAAAGTACTTCCCAGCTACCAACCATTAAGTGTATTTAATTCATCCACTAACTATAGCCTAGGTCTATATTGCCACACAACCCTCAAACTTTGGTGCTTGATTTTATTATTTTTAAGGACTCAAGCTCATTTAAAAAAGAACCCAGTAGTCTACTATCTGAATAAAATAATTTCTGCTATTATTACGTAACTGCCAGGCACAACTCTTAAGAACAGAATCTTTTCATAAAGGATTAAAAGATTAGAAATTTAAAGTAGAATACAAAATATTTTACAGAAGTTAAAGCACCCTAAAATAGTATTAAAATGGAGCAATACAGAAGCAATGAAAGAAAGATGAACAAGTGGCCAATTTATATTCAAACTTAATGTCACCTAAAAGGAATCCACCTAAATTCCACAAAAAGTAAGTTGAGCATCACAGCTCTGGGAAAATACTGAGAGAGATGGAACTGTTTAGCCTCGAAAAGATGAGGCTCAGGGGGCACCTCACCAATGTATTCGTGAGGTCCCCATATTTGAAGATAGGGTGCAAAGAGGATGGAGTCAGGCTCTTTTCAGTGTTGCCTGTGACAGGACCAGAGGCAGCACAAAGTGAAAAACAAGAGGATCTCTCCAAACATCAGAAAGCACCAAGTGTGACCAAACACTGGCACAGGGTGCTCAGAGAGGCTGTGGAGTCTGCACCCTTGGAGATACTCCAAAGCTGTCTGGATATAGTCCTGGGCAACCTAAGTAGCCCTACTTGAGCAGTAGGTTGGACCAGATGGCCTCCAGAGGCCCCTTCCAACCTCAATTGTTTTGGGAATTATTTATTAGGAGGGTTTTTGTTGTTTTGTTTTTTTCCCCTAAAAACACACACACAAAAATGACAGATCAAATAATGAGCAGTGTTGACCATGATGTTTTTATGACTGCATCAATTAATGACTTAATCAGCAAATAGTAATGAAACCCAAACAAAAATAATTTTTCAGCTTTAAAAGGGATGGGGGGGTGAGGGAAGCTCAATTTAATAAAAGTAAATGATTATAAAATGCATTACATTCTAGAAGCTATTTAACAGGAACAGTTCCCCTGGAAGTTAAACACCTGGAGAATGAAAAGAACCAAAGCAATAAAAGATCAACCAAAATCTCTAATGTCACTGAAGAGCTACTCGTATTACAAAAACAGGAAGCAGAGGTGTCTCACTTTCCGCATGACACACATCTGGAGTGCCTGTTTCACTGTTTTTCAGCAATTCTGATTGATAAATGCATATAACTTTAACCAGCCTAGACGTATTTTAGCTAGGATGAGTTTTACCTGAACAAAATACCAGCATAAATTTACACTTGCTGTAAGTCCACTTAACTATATCAAAACTAAGAGTGGAAACTGGCCTTTGAACTTCATCAACAACTTGCTCTTTATTCTGTGACTACTGAACAAGGTGGGTAATAAGGATCTGAATTTGAAGACCGTAAACTAGAATGCCTAACCTCTACTCTGCAAAAATCCCTGGTTTTCTGAGCTTTAAGTGTCAAAGATGACATTCACTTTGAACTTTTTAATGTATTTAATACTAGGTTTATTTTTATCTTAATAACTCACAGCACATAGGTGAGTTCCAAAAAACTACAATACTAATCAATGAACACTGGTATCAGGATAGTTTCAGTGATTGTGTTTTTGTGAAACATTAAGCAAAACCCAACACACACACACACAAAAACAAACAAAAAAAAACCCTGCAGAAATATTTTTCTTTTCACATCTCAAATTAGAAAGGATTAGTTAATGCCCCGTTTCCAATATGGGACATGTTACTTAAAAATAATGTGAAGAATTTACTCAGTCCTGAATAAGAGAAAGTCTTCACTGTGCTATGTTTCCTGGTTAGTTTTTTACTCTTTAAAATAAAGATTTTCTGATTTCTTCTAATTAGTAAAAAGCGTGTCACATACCTGTTGTGTGTTTCTTTGTGACTGTAAACTGGACTGCAGCCTTCTCAAGAGAGGAACACCATTCCTAGACAGTCTTTTAAGCAACCAGTAACTGTGCACTCGTTCAACAAATTGCTTCTTCCGCTGAATGGCCACCTGATTCATAATCTTATTTAATCTAAAATATGGAAAAACTGATATTGTATTTTACACAGCAAAGCGTTAAGATGTATTTGTCTACGGAAATTAAACATCAGGTATAACATGAACGCATAACATCAGTGATCACCGTATTATTAATTTCTTTCAACGACATCTCTTTCAGTACAACTGTTTCTGAGCAGTCAATTACAACCAAATGCATCTGCTTAACACTGCAATTTCTAGGTACATTACTTTAAAAAGCTAAAGTGTATTTTTATATTATCATTATCCAAGAGCAACCCCAGATTAGGGCTGAGAATAAAGCTTCATGTAAGTTTCACAATAGTTTTCCTATTAAAATCAGAAAACTCTAAATACCTACAAAAATTTTCAGATCATTCCTTGTTATCTTCACACAGAATTAGTAGTTTATCTTAAAGACAATGTATCTTCAAACATTTTACAAAAAAGCATGCAACAAAAAGCTTGTACTATTCATTTACAAGTATTTTTTGGTAAAGTGAACAAAAAATGTAAACCAGAACAACACTTATTATTTTACTCCACACATACAAAGAAAATATCCACACAGAGAAGATGCAAGAGAAGATCATACGAACAGTTAAGCACTGTATACTGATTAAGTAACCAGTATTTTCTCCAAAGTTATTTTTTAAAACATGCAAATATTGTTTACATATACTGTTTACAAATACTCTAGTGAAGTACTGTAAGAAATTCACAACAACCTTGACTCTTAAACAATGACACACTGAATGACTAAGTCACACACAACAGTAACATCCCAAGACCTGCACTAAAAAAAATACGTTTATCTGAAACAGATCTTCAACCCTGTGCCTGCAGTGTCTTGAAATGACATAAATTAATAATAAAAAAGTTAATGGCTGTAGAATGAAAAGGTTTTGTCTTTGTATGACATTGCAGGATTTGTCACTGTTGGCAGCCCTTGCAAAATTAACACAAGATGTCCTAAGGCACCAACCCCTTGTTATTGTCAGGGGAATTGTTCATTCATTTTGGGGCAGGGGTGAGCCAGAGAGAGAAAAGGAGTTCTCTGAGCTGGACTTAGTAACAGTTACAGAAAGGATAATATCAATGAACAGAATCTGTTAGTTCTTCATTCAGTGTATTACTGCCCACAGCAAAACTCTACAATGGAAGGTATACTTATCAGAGATACTCCAATAAAATTTAATACCAAAATAGAAAAACTTAAATTCAATAACAGTCTGATTTGCAGAGCACTACCACAAGGCATTTAAATAAAAATCGCAGACATATACACATATTAGTACTGTTCTGCTTTTTCCCTTTTAATATTAGGAATAACATAGTTTCACATGTAAATGGTGGAAGCAGTCAAACACCTAAACAGAATGTAATGCTAGAAGTAAACCTCAGCTATAACGCGTTGTACGAATACCTGAAAAACCTGAATGACATTTTTCAGACACACACACAAGTGAGTTCATCCCAAGTTCAAAGTTCACCTAGCCCTGGTTGTTCTTGGGGGCTGCACAGAAAGTACGGTGCAATAGGTCTTAGTGCTATGCTAACTAGCCACAGTGCTTTCAGCCATCACAGGGTAAAGGCAGAGCAAAAAACAGGTTTTCTTCAAAATACAGTTCCATTGTGTTCCTTGGTTCTTTAGTGGCATTATTTTTCAACTAGCATCTAAGCCAGTTACGCATTTTACCTTAACTCAAAGCTCAGAAAGTGCAGATGAATTCAGGACTCTTGTAAGTCTTTCACTGAAGAGCACAGGAGGGCTCCACAAAGACTTACTCAATGCAAAACAACCATGATGTTACCATATACCATACCAACTTCAAACACAACAGAATTACAATTAATTACAGAATGCAATCAAACTCAAATAATTAATTTCACATCTCTCTCTTGGAAACAGCAAAACCTACTGAATTGAGCCAAAAAAGCACAGCCAAATATACACCTATTTGGAAAGACCAGAGAATCATAACTTGACATGAAGAAAGGTGCCTTGGCTTCATGCCCATCAGATGTGGCAAGACTAAACAAATATCTTTAATTACAGCTTTAAGTACATTTGCCCATTCACATTACAAACCATTCTATTCATAGATAGTTATAATAGTAAAGTGCAAGAATAAGCTTAGCAAAGATATTCACAGAAGATATTTTCAGACTCTCAAAATACAAAGAAGGTAATTTGGAGTGCAGAAATGACCTTACAAGGGGTAGGAATCTACTGCTCCCTCTAAATAAAACCAAATATTGGCTGTTAATATTTCATCTGGAAATCAGACTTTGGTAGTGGCAATACAGCACTAATCACCCCTTAATTTCTCAAAATAGAGAGGTCAGACGCTCTGCACAAGACAAGTTATGTACAGAACCTCCACACTATGATCTCAGTGATATAATAAGGATGTTGTATCTGATGTTAGCCCCTGAGAACCCACTAACTATAGTGCAGTTCTTTGATCACGTTTTTACTTAGATCACCTTTTTGCTTAGATACTCCCATGCAGACTTTTACTGTTTGAAAAAGCTTGAAATTTTGACAGACAATATAACCATTTTGGAGAAATACAACATGATTCACCTGCTGCTGTAGGACCCTTGAGATAGCACAGACAGGGTATTGATTTGAAGCTCCCACTTTTGATAGTGCTACCGCATGGGGAAAGTGGTTCTCACTCACAAAGATTCACTCAGACGCAGGGAAGCTGAACACAAGCATGAAATAAGGCACAAAGGTATGCACCAGTCTTGAACAAACTCCCTTCTGCTTCCTTAGCTTGAACTAGATTTGTAAATGATGAAACTAAATTCTCTGAGGTCTTAGAAGAGTTTGCTGCATATTCCACTTCCTTTTTTTCAAGAAATGTAATTAAAAAACAATATTGAAGTGCAAAAAAAAAGAAGTGTGTATTTACGCATTTGAGGCAGGTAATGCAGAGCTGTTAAAAAACTTTAGTTTTGCAATCCAGGATCTGACTTGCACAAGACACAATTAACCGATCCACTACACCACCAAATCCCCCATGCAGAGAGGAAAGGTTTACACAACCTTGATCACTCCCCAAACTACACAAAACACCTCAGCCAAGGTATTGTTTTGCTAAACTTTGTCCACCTTTCAACATTTGTTAAGACAAAATTCCCAACAAGCATCCTGAAACCGACCATGTTAAGTGCTAAATGTTTTTCTCTCAAAGCATTTAAGCAATTAACACAATTAAGCTAAACCCGCAGCAGAACAGTTCTTATACTGTCAGCTACTGCAGCCTGAACCATTATTCTGAGGCCTTAAGATAGAGGCTCAGCCTGTCTTACCAGATGTTGTTTTTCCCCCAACTTATCAGTTATCTAAAATAAACTGAAAGAAGAACTAAAAAAATTCTTAAAAAGGTGGCCATGCTCCCACAAAATTCAGCAGCTGCAGTACATATCTGGTCCCATGAAAGAAGCATTAGGCTTCAGGCTCATGATCACTGCACCATTTTGATGTTTTGGCACCACAGTCATGCTTCCTCTTGTTTTTCCCCTTTTCTGGGGCTACATTCCAAGACTACACAGATGTCAAAACATTTTTCATAACCATTTTATTTGTGCCACAGGCAAGTGAGGAAGCCTGTACTACTTCCCTTCCTCAGCTCCGCTGGTATCCAACTGTAAACCACTGTGACACCCACTAAAAACATCATATGGAGGTACCATACAATTCCATGCTTGTATTTAAACAGGCAAAGATCCCTCTTCAGCTGAACCTTTCAAATAGCACCTGCAGTACCCAGCCTCAAACCTTAGTTCAGGCAAGTGTAAATTACAGCATTAGAACAACACTGCACTTACAAAAGCAATGGAAGGATGAGGAGAGGAAGCTGGTTCTTTTTGAAAGAGTAAGACAGATTCAAATAATTAAACTTAAAATGAAAGTTAACATGCAACAGCTTTGGTAAGAAACCTTAACAGCTGCTATAAGCTAACCCTCTCCTCAGAGACTTTTGATGGATAATCTACCCTGCAAAGAGTAATACTCCCAATGCACTGGTCAAAGCATTCAGAAAAAGCTGAGTGTTATTCCCTCATCTTTAGATAAATACATAAAATAATTTTCACCAACATGAAGAGATGTGCTCTTCTCATATTAGCAATCAGACAGCTTTGTTATTCCTCCTCACAACCCCCTTCCTCTCCCAGTTTCAGTTACATGTCACTGTGGCAACTACAGCAACTGGTTGCAAGAGAAGTGAAAGCAGTATTTCTGGTGACTAAGCTATGCGGCAGTTTAATGCCGGAAAGCCAGTGAAATATAATCAGCCATTTTTCTATTAATCATCACTAACCACTCCACAAACCCCATGTGCTTTCTAACCCCACAGATACCATTTCAGTATTACACTGTATCAAGACTCTACAGCACCTCTCCATTCACAGATTCTTGAAATATAAACTGGAGAGAAAACTTCCTTAAGCAAATACATGATTCTGCCTGTATTACAATAATAATTTAGGCAGAAGAAACTGAACATCTTAGATTAAGCAAGACCAAACACCCACTAAATCAAATCAATTTTTAAACATGAACCAAACATAGTTTACTTACTATACTTGTCCTGAGCCTCCACTTTCATCAATTTCTTATTTTGCATCTTCCTTTACCAATACAGCTGTATTAAAAGTACATGTAAAAGACTAGAAAAACTAAATTATACTCTGTAAGATGTTGTTTAGTATCACTGAAGTACCAGTTTCTCTTGACCTATAATAATAACCCATGAACAATCAAATGATGTTCCAGTTCACTGGGCAAATAAAATATCCCGATTTTCTCCACACAAAGATTGCAGGTGAGTTTCTAAAACCTGTCAGAACATAACAAAAAAAAATCCAAATTAAACAAATCGTAACAAAGTACACTAAATTTCAAGAACACTGTAATGTTCAAGCGTTGCTCTGCAAAGTTCCACAGAACATAACCAGGTTCATAGGAAGCAAGAAAGATAACAAGTACCTACAAAC